TGTTTGGGCAAGAGCCCAGTTTCTTTCAGATTAGTCCAAGAGGACAGACTCGTGGTGGGAAGGGTCTGCCCTGGAGGACAGCATTGGCACCTTGGCAGGACATGGTAGGACCAGTGGGCAGGGGTTGAGTGATGGGCCACACCATGGTGGACCCAGGTGTGCCTGGCGGAGAGCACAAGGTGCCAGGAGACCTCAGCAGAGCTTCCGTGGTGCAAGCAGCCAGGCCAACTGCCAGAAAACCACCCACCACACAGCCTCGCACCTCCCTGGGGCCCCAGCTGCAGCCTGGCCCATGGTCATGGTCATGGCTTCTAAGGCCTGAAGGGCATGGTCAGCATCTTTTGAATTCCAGAGTTCACCACGAAACCGGCCTGGGCAGGTGTGATCCAGTCGCCTTGGACCACCAGAGTCACCGGCCCAGACTAAACATACGGCTGCTGCTGTGTCTACATGGGCAGGGCTGGGGTGTCGAGGCAGCACGTGGTGAGGGTGGGGTGGGCTGCTGAATGGAGCCCCGCATCCCAGTACGAGAACGTGGCTGTCAGTGTGCACGGAGGCTGACAGGACTGGACAGTCTCCATCTGGGAACAGGACACCCTCAGCTCCGGCGCTCCTCGCTGGTCCCACACGGTCACAACGGTGAGCCAGATCTGGTGGGAGGTGCGTGTCCTGGGTCCCTGGAGAAGACTGGGTGAGGCTGACCTTTCTTGCAGTCCCAGGAGCAGAGACCGAGGACAGAATTGATCCCCCCGGGAGACCTGAGTGGATGCCCAGGAAAGGCCTTCTGAATGTCAGTCGATCACCCAGGGGCAACCATGCGTGTAGGTCACGTTTAATCCACCGGCTGTCTTTGTGCACGCGGGGGCGGGGCGGGACTTTCATCTGTGAAGTTCAAAGCGCCGTCCACACGCCCACTCTGCTAATCCCCACTCTGATCTGAGTTTTGCTGTGTAACTAAACCGATTACAAGAATTGGGAGGCTGGGCTGGGCCCCTTGGAACGACGTCCTCACCCTGGACTCCTGAGGCTGGCGGCAGGGTCAGGGTGCTGGTTTATGGCGCCAAGAGTGTGGGAGGAGGAAGGCGCCTTGGGGACTCCCCCACACAACCCGCCAGCCTGTGTAACAAGCTAGAGAAAGATGCTCTTCCGGGCCCCAGAATAAGAGTGCCGACTGCCTCTTCCTCTCCTCACTAGCCTTCCCACATGCGGCCCAGAGCTAGCCCCAGTCTCCCATTCTTGCCTCCCGCCTCAGGACTGTCCCAGCCCAAGCTGCCAGTGCCCAGCTTGGGGGCACCGGAACCTCCCATCCTGCTCTCCAGAAATGTACTTGGAAACTTCCTCGTGGTTGCCACACACCCTTAGAGGATATTCATCTTTTCTGATATCTGAGTGACAGACGGTTTCTGAGACATCGTAGGTCATCAGTATCCTAAAACCATGTCACTCCTTCTCATCTGAAAGTAGAACTCAAGTGAAGCTCAGCTTTGTGCCAACCCACTCATGAAGGGCAGAAACACAAAACTGTCAAACGGTGGTGGCTTCCTTTTTAAATGGATGCTTAACCCGTGTTCACATGTATGTGTTCTTTTGATGGACTCACTCAATGTGGCGTGATCGCATATGGTTGACACCGTCACTGCCAATGTTGACCTTTTTTTGGTGCCACAGTCAGGTCTCTGACACTAGAGCCAAATTCAACCCGCAGTGGGTCAGGGCCAGCAGCTCACTCGCCCTAGGGTTGTCCCCCTCTTTGTGTCTGCCCAGCCCCTGTCCAGGATGCTCTTTCCTCCCTCTGCTTCCCTGTCCCACACTGGCACTGCCCCGGGCACCGGCGTCGCCCCCAGGCTGCCCATGAGTAACCTCCCTCTGACTCAGCAAGATGCGCCCGAGTCACGGAGGGGGTTCAAGTGCCAACCAGACCCTCCCCTGTGTCAGCAGAGAGACTGTTTCTCAGAAGCTTGGACCCTTTTGTTCACAGTGGAATCTGCTTCCTGGACTATGTTGATGAAGCGTGCTGGTTTCCTGGAATTGCAGACGCAGACAGCAGTGCACTTGACACAGCTGTTTCAGGGACCAGGGAAAAGGGGGCAGTCGGGGGTGGAGGGCACACTGTCCTTCCTGTGGTAAAGGAGGCAGAGAGCAGGAGGTGAGCGACAGGCCTTTCCCACATGACACTGCCTCTTCTCATGGCACCATCATGTTTCCCACATGTGTGACCTCTTCGGTCATCCATTGCTGTGACCTCCTGAAGGTGCAGCTGTGGAGTTGTGACTCGTCTTGGAGTCTGGTATGGAGCCCTGGCGTGGAGCCCTGGAGTGAAGGCGTGTCATGAAGACCTGACATGGAGGCCTGGAGTGGAGGCCCAGTGTAAAGACCTGGAGTGGAGGCCTGGCATGGAGCCTTGGCATAGAGGTCTGCTGTGAAGGACTGATGTGGAGATCTGGTATAAAGGCCTGTCATGGAGGCTTGGCAAGGAGGCCTGGAGTGGAGGCCTGGTGTCGGAGGCCTGGCGTGAAGATGTGGAGTGAAGTCCTGGTGTGAAGCCCTGGCCTGGAGACCTGGCCTGAAGGCCTGGCATGGAGGCCCGGAATGAAGGCCTGGCATGGCTTGTTCACCCTGGGGTTACCTACCTCATTGGGTCTGCCCAGCCCCCACCCATGAAGGCCTATCATGGAGGCCTGGCATAGAGGCCTGGAGTGGAGGGCTATTCACCAGCCCCTGTGGGGGCAAGAGCATCTCAGAGCACAGGAGCATGAAGGCTTAAAGGGGGTGCTGACTTGGCCAAGATCATACAGTAGCTGGTATTGCCATGCGATACAAAGAATAGCAACAGTACCTCCAAGCAGTATTGTCACCGTGATACAAAGTCTATCTACTCATTCTGTGGCAGGTATCCTTTGCACTTGACATCGCTCAACTCCTTTTATCCTCAGAACAACCTCATGGGATTTTTTTTTGAGTTGGAATCTCATGGCCTCTGCAACCTCAACCAGCTGGGGGGCTCAGGCGATCCCTCCGCATCAGCCTCCCAGTAGCTGGAACTACAGGCATGCACCACCACATCTGGCTAGTTTTTTAAATTATTGTAGAGATGAGGTCTCACCAAGTTGCCCAGGCTGGTCTCGAAGCCCTGGACTCAGGCAATCCTCTTGCCTCAGCTTCCCAAAGTGCTGGGATGACAGGTGTGAACCACCGCACCCGCCTCATTCTTTTTTAAAAATTATATTAAAGCGTTTTCTTAAGATACAAGTTCTCACTATGTTGTCCAGCCTGGTCTCATCTGCTCAGTCCGTCCTTGAAGAATGTCATTAAACCTCCCACCTGGGAGGAGGACAGAGCAGGGTGGAGGGAAGCAGGCTTCTTCTGCTCTGGGACCCTGTCCCTAGTCCCCACGTGACTCCAGCCTGTCCTGAGCCTGTCACAGGCAAGTGGGAGCCACCACTACAGGAAGACACTAAAGAACAGGGGCCTTTCCTAAAGCTCCTTCTTGGAAACCATCTCCAAGACACTACCAAGCTCTGCCACAGCCAGTGAGGGGACTTGGGCAACGTTTCACTTACTCAGTATCCTCATCTGTAGAATGGAAACCATAGTGCCCCTGAAGGGCTGGGTGTGGCGGCTCATGCCTGTAACCCCAGTGCTTTGGGAGGCTGAGGTGGGAGGATTGCTTGAGCCCAGGAAGTCAAGATCAACCTGGGCAACAGAGCCAGACCTCATCGCTCTTTAAAACATAAAAATAAAGAGAATAAAAAATAAACTGGGGAACAGGTGACCCTTCAAACAGCTGGAGCACTGATAAAACGCAACGTCTTATGTTTATATATAGGATGCTGCTTAAAATTCATGGAAGGGCATGCGAGGTCTTGTCTGTTAGCAGGTGTGCAGCGACTATTTATTTTCTATTTTTTATTTTTATTTCTTTGGAGGCGGAGGGTCGGAGTCTCACCCTGTTGCCCAGGTTGGAGTGCAGTGGCACGCTCATGGCCACTGCAGCCTCAACCTGCTGTGCTTAAGTATTCCTTCTGTCTCAGCCTTCCAAGTAGCTGGAACTACAGGTGTGTACTACCATGCCTGGCTAATTTTTTGACTTATTGTAGAGATGAGGTATCACCAAGTTGCCCAGGCTGGCTTCGAACCCCTGGGCTCAGACAATCCCCTCACCTCGGCCTCCCAAAGTGCTGGAATTCCAGGCTTGAGCTATCGCGCCCAGCCAGCGATGAGGTTTCGCCAAGTTTCCCAGGCTGGTCTCACAGTTCTCTTGCCTCTGCCTCCCAAAGTGTTAGGATTACAGGCGTGAGCCACTGCAACGAGGTTTTTTTAAATTTTTGAGTCAGGGTTTCACTCTATCACCCAGACTGGAGTGCAGTGGTATGATCACGGCTCACCACAGCCTCGATCTCCTGGGCTCAGGCGAACCTTCCTTCTCAGCCTCCCAAGTAGCTGGGACTACAGGCACGTGTCACCACTGCTGGCTACTTTTTTTGATTTATTGTAGAGGTGAAGTCTCGCCTTGGCCTCCCAAAGTTCTAGGATTACAGGCATGAACCACAGCACCCAGTCCCCAGTGGCTTCTTGATGCTCAGAAGAAAGCTGCAGCCTGGCCCTGGTCTGTGAGTGCCGTGGGCTTTGCCTCCCTTCTCCCATTATGTCACAGATGTTATTGTCTGCCCATCTGTCCTAGCTCTGCCCCAGCCTCCTTGCTGTCTTTGTTGCTGACTCTCACCATGCCAAGGCTTTAGTACCTGCTATGCCCACGCACCCTCACTTCATCAACATTTCTCAGGAGCCACCGGCTCCATGAGGCCTCCTGATCATCCTGTCTAAACCTTGCCTCTGGCTGGGCCCAGTGGCTCATGCCTGTAATCCCAGCACTCTGGAAGACTGGGGCAGGAGGATTGACTGAGCCCAGGAGTTGGAGACCAGCCTGGGCAATATAGTGAGACCTCATCTCTCAAAAAAACATAAAAAATTAGCTGGCCGTGGTGGTGTGCACCTGCAGGGAGGCAATATTTGGTCTGCTATGAAGGACAATAAAGAAAGAAATACTTTTTAAAAATGTTTCTTGAGAGATAAGAATATTAAGTAGAAGTGATATCAGGGAAAAGAAAAGCCTGGTCCCAATATCAAAGGGCAATTAATTGAAGAGAGCAATATTACTTTTAATTGACACTAAACATAATTATTCCTAATAGGAATAATGTAATATCACCTCATTTTTATTACATATTGCAATCATTATGCACATATCAATACATATATAAAAATACAGACACTGCATAGTGACTAAGCAATTTTGGAATAAATCCATGAACTAAGTCACAGCGTGCATAAATCATTTATATCTTAACTTCTCATTTATACCAGAACAAATTTTCATTAAGCATACTAGTAATTTTCAAATGATTTAAGAAAAAAATGTGGTTGTAGTATTTTATTATTTTGCTGAATTACACTAAAAAGAAGCTAGCAGCTTCACCTATTTTAATACTAGTATGCTCTGGATCTTATTATAAGAATACAAGTATAGAAACCTAAAAGATCATAAATTTACCATGAGGAGACATTATCCAGTCTATGTCATTGGCATGATTTGCAAAACATTTTAACACCGCAGACATTAGAAGTTTGAAGACCAGGCACGGGAGAAGGTTTATACTCTACTATAATGATGCTGGTGTTCTTCTACACAAGGCCTCTTCATGATGTCAATCAAATAGAGGCTGGAGTTTATCAATGAATTGCTTGATATCTATCATTTCCTGTTGACATGAACTGTGCATCATGCCTTCATAAGTTTTAACATTGACTGGATCAACCAATGTTTTTAGTTTTTCAACAGTAAGAGAACCAAACATCAGGGGAACTAAAGGGCCTCAATCTCCATGGCATTGAAGTATAGAAATATCTTTATTAGTGCCACTGATAGGACCCTTTGGAAATGAAGCTTGAAGAAGAAGCCAGAAATTGAGTGCAGTGACACCCGCCAGTGTCTGGTATGTGGTGATAGCGGTATATAAAGATAAAGCTCTTCCCTGAGAAAATCCTCCCAAAATAATTCTGTTAGAAGGAATGCTATTCTTCACCTCTTGATCAATCAAAGCTTTTATGTTTTCTGCTGCCAGTTTAATTCTAGCTTCATCCTCCTGTGACTCTGGTGAAAGTCCAACAATATCAAACTAAGAAGGCAGAGCCATGTTCATATTTAATGTAACAGGCATAACAGGTGCATGGGGGGAGATATATTTGATATGGGAAAGTCTGATACCTGCAAAGGCTTCTGTCCATCTGTGCCAGGTATCACCCAATCCATGAAGGAAAATCACCGCAGCAGTGGACTTTCGGGCAGTGGGCACGATGGCGGCCAGTGGGGCAGACATGTTATTGCCGCACATACACAGGCTCAGCCAACAGCTCAGGTGGAAGGAGAGTGGGCTCTAGGCCGAGGCCCAAGGGCATGCGAGCAAATCCCAGTCAGCCCCACCAGGTGTGCGCTCAGCTGTGTGCACACCTACTTGGCACTGTGCCCCCACTTCCCTTCCCTTCGCTTCCCTTCCTTTCTTTCTCTCTCTCTCTCTCTCTCCCTTTTTCTCTCCCTCTTCCTCTTTCTCTCCCTGTCCCCCTCTCTCCCTCTCTCCCACTTTATTGTAGAAACAAGGTCTCGCCATGTTGCCCAGGCTGGTCTCAGACCCGTGAGCTCAGGCAATTCTCTCGCCTTGGCCTCCCAAAGTGTGGGATTACAGGCTACATACCTAAGCCACCTCTTTCTTTTTTCTTTTCTTTTCTTTTCTTTCTTTCTTTCTTAATTTCTTTCTTTCTTTCTTTCTTTCTTTCTTTCTTTCTTTCTTTCTTTCTTTCTTTCTTTCCTTCCTCTCTCTCTCTCTTTCTTTCTTTCAACAGACTCACACTCTATTGCCCAGACTGAAGTACAGTAGTGCCATCATAACTATGCAGCCTTGACCTCTTGGGCTCAAATGATACTCCCACCTCAACCTCTCAAGTAGCTAGGACCAAAGATGTGTGCCACCAAGTCCAGGTAATTTTTTTTTTTTTTTGAGAGATAAGAACTCATTAGGTTGTCCATAGCAAGTGATCCTCTTGCCTCGGCCTCCCAAAGTGCTGGGATTACAGGCGTGAGCCACTGTGCCCAGCTCAATACACACCACTATTTCTATCTTTTTGTTGTTGTTGTTTTTACACAGCTCAGCTCTAGTCAGGGTTGGGGGACTATCAAGAGTGTGAATGCTGGGTGATGAAGGTCTCTGGGGGCATTGTGGAAAGCACTTATCACATTCCTCAATGGAATGATTAGGGAGGGCATGGTTAGGAAGTGGGAACACATGTCATGAAGCCAAAACAAAACAAAAGACATAGCACATGCACAAGCGCAAACCCCCAAACACCTACCAGCTTCCTGACAGGGACATGGAGAATCACGGTGTCTATTCACAGAGGTGTCAGAGACCTGGAGCTTAGCTGGAATCCTGGCTCATTGTCAGCAGAACAACATGTGACTTATGGTGTCAGTTGGCTATAGTCACCAACTTCACCTTCAGGCCTAATACAATTCAGCAGTCACGTCAGGCAGTCTCTTACCTAACTGGCATTTGCTTTATGCCTTCTCATGAGCTTGATTGCACAGAGTTCACCAACTGTGACTGTGGGCTCTCGCGCCTTCCATCCCTCACACCTGGGCTCTCCCTCCTTCCATTCCCATATCTGGGCTCTCATTCCTTCCATCCCACACCTGTACTCTCCTTCCTTCCATCCCCCACAACTGGGCTCTCCCTCTTTCCATCCCTACATCTGGGTTCTCGCTCCTTCCATTCCCATTCCTGGGTTCTCACTTCCAACCTTCACACCTGGGCTCTTATGCCTTCTATACCCACACCTGTTCTCAAGCTCTTTCCATCCCTATACTTGGTCCTAGTTTGCTCCTCTGTTCCTAGGAATATGGGTGCTCTTCCTTGTGATCTTGTCCTTGCTCTCTTTAAAATTTTATTTCCACAGTGGGTCACATCTGTTATCCCAGCACTTTGGGAGGTGGAGGTGAGAGAATTGTCTGAGCTCAGGGGTTCGAGACCAGCCTGGGCAACTTGGAGAGACCTCGTCTCTACAGTAAATCAAAAAATCAGTCGGACATGGTGGCGTGGAAGGCTGAGGCGGAAGGATCGCCTGAGCCCAGCAACTCAAGGCTGTGGTGGCCGTGAACATGCCGCTGCACTCCAGCCTAGGTGACAGAGGGGGACGCCAACTCAAAATAAATAAATAACTAAATTTAAAAAAATTTATTTCTACACAGTTTCTCACTGTTTACCTTATTATTTCTTCCTTGACCAAATGGCTTAAATGGCCACCTGGAAATTTTATGTGTGCCCTGCTGCTAATAGGTCTCAAGAACCAGGACCCCTAGACTTCTTCCTGTCCCTCTAAGCAGGTGCAGAAGGTCGCTTACACATGCAAAAGGTCACATTGTTGCTGCAGTCCCTAATGTGAGTACATCATTTCATGGTTTACAGTCATGCCATATCCACTACAGGCCAAATCCTACCCTGGTCGTGGAGTCAGATTCATTTAAATTGTGCCCCCTACTGCAGTTGCATGAGTGAAACTCAAGGGGCTGGAGCACCCTGGTCCTCCTGGCATGTGCAGGGAGCGTCAGTGTGGCCCCCCCTCTAAAATTCTGCATGCTCACTCCAAGAAGCAATTCCTTGAAAAATGAGCAGGGCACATGGAGGCATCACCCCAATTTTTTTTTAAGTTGGGGTCTCACTCTGTCACCCAGGCTAGAGTGTAGTGGCATGCTCCTGGCCACCGCAGCCTCAATCTGCTGGGCTCAGTCGATCCTTCTGTCTCAGCCTTCCAAGTAGCTGGAACTATAGGTGCACGCTACCATACCCAGCTAATTTTTAAAAATTTTATTCAGTAGAGACGAAGTCTCACCATGTTGCCCAGGCAGGTCTCAAACCCGCGGGCTCAGGCAATCCTCTCAACTTGGCCTCCCAAAATGCTGGGATTTTAGGCTTGAGCCACTGTGCCCGGCCCATCCAAACACTTTTAACAAATAGCACTGAGTACAGCAAACTCTGGCCCTGTCCTGAGGGAGCCTGGCATCTGGAGGGCTGGGAACGGTCTGGGGAAGGTGGAAGAGACATTAGAGGAATAATCACACCAATATTTTGGGGCTTGATTTGGGCTGGTACAGAGAGAGTGCTGGAACAGTGTGCCAGGCTGCTGGACTTGGGCCCCAACCTGTCCTTGTCCCGATCTGCCAGGGGGCAGGGGCTGACCCCACAGGCTGGTCTCAGGCACCAGGGGACTCCTGCAGTTCCAGTCAGGGGAGGCCAAGGGGGAAACGCCCTATGCTCCCTCCCTCCTGCCTGCGGGCATCTCTCCCTCTCCTGCTGGCTGTGCTCTGCCGTGGCTTCTCTCTGGTTCTTGCCCAGCCCTTCTTGTCTCCTGGTTTGGTCCCTCCAGCCCCGGGGCAGCTCAACTTCCCACTGCTGTGACTCCAGGGGGCCTGGAGCACTGACAGTGCTCCCATATTTCTGAACCCAAGGACCGCATCTGCCCTGGCACCTGTTCCTGCCGCGGAGCTGGGCTGTGATGCTCTCACAGATGGCACCTGTCCTGGGTTGTGGCAGAAGCACACAGCTGGGCTGCAGGTGGCAATGCCTGGGAGCACTGGGTAGTGAGCCCTCGGGGTGGGGGGCAAGGGGTCTGGGCACAGGGATGGCTGCATTGACTTCACTTTTGAGGGGAGAAGCCTGTCCTGAACCCTCAGGTCTCTGGGTTCTGATCCATTTCCTTTGAAGCCCATCCACTGGCTGAGCCCCCTGGTGTCATGCCATACCCACTTCAAGTCCACCCGGAGTCAGGACCACTGTGCAGGAGTCACTTGTCTACCCGGCCTCAGCCATGACTCCCACCCAGAAGCATCCTGGGTGGGGTGAGGGACCACTAATTAAGGTCCAGGGATCGCCAGTAGTGTGACCAGAAAGCACACCAGGGCTGGAGGTCGGGGCAGACTGGGTGACTTGTCCCCACTGAACCCAGGCCACACTGGTCCAGGGCCCGTGGCGCCAGGCAAGGCGGCAGGTTGTCCCTCTGTTAATATGCTTTCTTGGCCTGCAATGGCCGTGGGAGCCCAGGGAGGGTGAGGACCCGCCAGCGTTTTCTACTGAAGACAAATGTTCCTGGCCTCCAGCCTTGTGCTGCAAGCCTGGCCTCCTCAGAACAGAGGCCAGAAACTCACACTCCTCATAATCCCGCAACTTCCCACTAATCAGATGTCTAGACAGGCGTGGTCTCTGCCCCCTTTCCTGTTTGCAAATCTGCTTTGAGGAGCTGTATCCTCCTGGCAATGCTACAACGTTCTCTATTTGTTCTGCGGGCCTTCCCCCAGACTTGGTTCTGGAAATGCTATCATTCCCGGATCGGAGAAGCACTCTGGAAACCGCGCTCTGATACTCCTCTGCTTGAGTTTCACTCTCTGGAGAGGAGTTCTGTTCTCAGGGCAATTAGTGAAGCCTTGGGCGGCCATGAGCCAGACGGGCTGCAGGATTGCGGTGACTTTGGAGAGAAAGCACTTCTCACCATAGCCATTCAGACGACACATTGTGCTTCTTTAATTGGGCAGGGAGGACAGCGTTTCAGTCTCCACCCTCCACTGGCGCCCAGGAGAAGCTGTCGCCGGGTCTCTCCCTCTTGGTGGGCTGGCTCCATGCAGCAAAGGTTGCCAAGTTGTGGAATGGATGCTATAGCAGGACCCGGCGTGCAGAGCATTCGGTGTTTACAACCAGTGCTGGATAATGAAGATTGGGCTGGCAGAGAGCCAGACTCCCAGCCTCTCACTCGCCTCCTAGCCCACTTCCTCCACCCCCGCCCCACCACTCCTCACTCAGCATTATGGGGGTGGACTTGGCAGTCACTGACCCAGGGATGGTGTCACCCTCGGGGTCAAGGACAGCCACAGTCCTCCCTTCACATCGAACAAGCAGCGTCTTCATTCTCCAAAGGCAGAGTGTGCATGTGACATGGGGTTCCAGGGACTACTTGGGTTCAGATGTCAGAAGTGTAACCTCTGTACCTCAGTCTTCTCGTCTGTAGAATGGACCTAATAATGCTTTCTATAGCTTAGGTATGATGAGGAGTAAATGGGTTTATAAATGTAAAGCAGTACCTGGTATGTAATATGTGCTAAATCAGAGTTGGTTGTAAGAGAAATAATTTTTTTTTAAGTTTTAAAATTTAAACATAAATGGTTATACAGGCTGCGTGTGGTGGCTCACGACTACATTCCCAGGTGGGAGGATTGCTTGAGGCTAGGAGTTTGAGACCAGCCTGGGCAACATAGTGAGACCTAGTCTATACACAAATAAACATAAAGTATTGG